GCAGATTTCCTCAAGCAGGGAGAAGGAATGGGGGCTGGGCCTGGGGCAGGGGTGGGGCCTGGACAGGGGTGGAGCCTGGGGCCGGGTGGGGCCTGAGGTAGGGGCGGGGCCTGGTCTAGGGGCGGGGCCTTGCAGGGGTGGGGCTTGGGCAGGGGCGGGGCCTGGCCGCAGCATCCTCATTTGGCTAATGGGACGGTGGTAACACGCACGCCCTGCCCAGTCATGCTCTCGATGGGGTCAAAGGGCCAAGGTCAGGATTATACCTCTAAGTGGCCTTCGATCAGGACAAGACACTCAGAAAGGGTTTGCTCTCTTAAGATGGGCTGCGCAGGGAGCTGGGTATGTTTGCCCAGTGTATAATTATTGGGCGCCCACTGTGTGCACAGCTCTGTGTGAGCCCCTGGGGAGCTCCTGAGACCACCCGCAGTGGCAGAAAAGTGGCCCTCCTCCCTTTGCCTGGCCTCAGGGCTCCTGGGGGGCACAGCACCTCTCTCACCCTGGATGCCAGCCCGGCTCCGAAGGTACAGGCTTGTGGCCAAGTAGGGCTCCCTGGGGCTCAGGGGAAAGGGACGCCTGACAAGGTGACCTTGTTAAGGACCCCTGAGCAAGATGCTGAGAGGTGCAGAGGGGACAGGAAAGGTGTCCACTGGGAGGGAACAGAAGGTGTGGAGCCACAGAGGAAGGTACCCTTGCGCTCATTGCAGGAGGCAGAGTGGCACTGTCCCCTCCCAGGGCCCACAGTGCATCTGCAGACCTGGGGCAGCGTCACACACTGCCCCGGGTTGGAGCACAGGGTCACCAGCCGTTACCCCATTCTGCAGATGAGAAAACCGAGGCTCAGGAAGGTTCAGGATCCTGTCTGATGTCACTAATCAGGAAGGGTGAGGCCAGGACTCCATCACAGTGACAAAGACAGAGACGCTTGCAGAGAGAGAGATGGACACAGAGCACGTGGGAGGGAGTCCGGACAGACGGAGGGGGCACCTGAGGGCCAGAGATGGGGGAGGAAGCAGAGGGGAGGAGTTTGGGCCTTTGAAGTTTGTCCTGCTCAGCTCCCCCGAGGTGGCCTCTGGCAGGCAGGGGGCCTCAGTGACCCAAGGGGAGCAGGGCCTGGTTTTCCACTCAGCCAGAAGCCGGAGAGACAGACCCAGGGAGGGCACAGGAGACTGGGGAGTCCCAGGCTTGTCCTTTCCTTTGGATTGCAAAAGCCCTTTCACTGTCTCGCAGAGGGGACCCCCACTCCGGAGGCTGGTGTAGGGTGTCTGTCTCTGTCCGTCCGTCTGTCTCTCTCTCTCACACACACATATCAGGCAATATCCCCGAGCTCTACACGATGACAGACCAAGTCCCCGAGACACTGCCCCCACCCACGTGCCAGTCCTGGGGGTGAGAAGCACTCGTGCCATCGCTAGGATCGTCACCCACACCCACTTCACATAGGAGAACTGAGGTGGGGACTGAGTGCCTCTTTGAGGGACGACAGCCGGGAGGCCAGAGTGGTTCCTGAGCCTGCAGGTCACTCTCTAAAGAAGACACTGGGAAGGAGTGAGGCTGGGCACTGTGGCCGTCCTTAGGGAGGGAACCGTGGGCCTTGATGAGGGGCACTTGGAGCAGTGGGCGCCAATGTGCAGGGACACTGGGGGCAGGGAATGGGGACAAGATGCCCATTTAGGCCATGGTGCATTTAGCCCTGCTCACCCCGGTCCCCACGATGCTCAGAGGCCTGGCTGAGAGGGGACCTGATGGGGACCCCCACGGTGGACCCTTACAGTGAGCTCTGCAGGAGCCTGGGCACGTGGAGATGGTATCTGGCTCCTCGTGGGACAGAGGGAGGAACAGACCCTCTGGGAAGCCCGAGGCGGTGGGGAGGGCTGGGGCCTGCACCCCTGGGAAGGGAGGGTGGGGCAGGAAGCCACACATTGAGTGCACTGGCCAAGCCACCCTCCCGGGAGGGAGGCATGAGGACCCCAGCCCATGCCCCAGGTCATGCTCGGGGTGGCAAGGACTCTATCCCAGACATGCCCAGCCAAAGCCAGCACTTGGCCCCAGCCTTGGCCACACCCCTTCGAGGCTGTCCTCCCCCCAGAACATAGCTGGGAACCCCAAGGTGGAGATCCGGGGCTGAGCTGGGCCGGACCCCCCATTTCCACCAACCCCAGGAGATGCTGTTTGGCACAGCTCTGCCCTGGGACCCGGTCACCCTCTGCCTGCAGTGCCACAGGAACAACCCGGGGTCGGCACAGAAGGACCGGGTTCGAGCCCTGGCTGCCTTTCTTACCAGCCAATGGATTTTGCTCCGTCTGGCCTCAGTTTCCCCATCTGTAAAATAGCCCGGGCTTCTGCAGGGCCCCAGGATGCAGATAGACGTGAAGGTCCTGGCCAAGCCCCCAGGGCAGGTTACATGGGGTCAGCCTGACTCAACCGGCCGAGCAGGCACCTAAGTGGCACCACAGTGGGTGAGACACAGGTGACGTGGGACTCAGGAGCAATCCTCCCCAGGTAGACGAGGTGCCATCAGGTGACATTAAGAGGGTGGCAGGCAGCTGAAGTCTGGGAACGCAAAGGGCTGGAGGTGAGACCGCAGGTGGGCGAGGCAGGCTGCTGCTCCTGCCGGGGTCCCAGATGGCAGGGAAGAAAATGAGGACATTCAGAGAGCATCACTCCCTCAGCCTCGCCCATGCTCAGCCTCGCCTGCTGCCTCCTCCAGGCTGAGCACTAAGTGACTCTAGTGGTCTCAGTTTCTCCTCATGTAGAATAGGGGGGCTTATAACCCCTGGTGTCCAGAACGTGCTCAATAAATAGCGATGGCGGCGGGGGCGGGTGTCTATATGACCCCAGGTTCCCTTGGGAACCTGATTAATGCTCATCGTCAAATTAATGTTGGTATTAATATTAACAGCAGCCCAATAATGCTCATGCCACCCCTGCTGTGGGCCACACACTCAATCCTCATGGTATCCTATGAGACAGGAACAAGGATTCTCCACATTTCACAGATGACAAATGGGCTCAGAGAGGTTAAGCCAGTTTAAGGAAGTGGCACACACGGTGGCGTCTGGTCAGGGCTGAGTGCCACCGTGTCACAGTGCAGAAAAATGCCATCATAACGCCTGGTGCTCAGTGAGCCACGTGGACAGGATTGTGGGGTCACCAGGGAGCCACATTCCCAGTTGGGGTGCCAACGGGCTCAGAGAGGTTAAGCCAGTTTCAAGGAAGCCCGGAGTAGAATCCAGAGGCTGAGTTACTAACTACCACATATATGGCCTGTTGGCTTCACCCACTGCCAGAGAGTCTGCTCCCTGTTGGTGTCTAGGAACCCCCTGCCAACCACTCAGAGAGCTTTATGAGGTCCCCATCTTGCCATCAGAGGTCCCCTCTTCTCCTCTCCAGTACTAAGAGCAGCGAGGGCAATGGGGAGCTACAGCAGGTTGTAGAGGGGTGGGCTCGGCCACACTGGGAGGCTGGCTGGCCGGGGGCCAGGAGGGAGGGTGGGTGTGGCCAGTCGCCTCCTACAGCAGGCAGCGCAGCGGGCCCAGCCCCTCCACCTCTCCCCGTGGTCTCCGAGGACCGGGGGGACAGATGGCATTGCCCAGGACTGGGCCATGGCTGTCACTCAGTCCGATGAGTTACCAGCAGGCTGAAGGGTCGGCTGCCGGGGGGCCTCCGAGACAATAGCATGGAGACCCCAGGACAATGGGGGCCACGTGCCACAGGGCAACAGTCGTTTGTCACACAATGGGCCACCGGGGGACAGCAGCCGGGCCAACTGCTGCCCTGACACAGGCCAGCTGAGTTTTCAAACCGCTTCCGGGCTGTGTTTTCCTATGAGGCAGCCAATCGCGGGGGCAGCGGGCGGTCACCTGATGCCAGCTCCGTGGGCCGAGGGCCCAGGTCCTGTGACAACTGAGAAGCGGTGTCCATGGCAACTCTGATTGTGGCCCCAAAACACAAGGGAAGGGGGGGAGCCGGAGAGGGCGCCAGCCGGAGGCCCCGCCACCGGGTACCCCAGGAAACCGGGGCTGTGCTGCCACCTGGCCCCGCCCGCCGCACCCTGGGGCCCGACACGGGGCCTTTGAAACTTGGAGCCGAGAATTGGGACCGTGAGCTCCTTGAGCACAAAAGAGACCGCCCCTGGCCGTGTGGGTGGCACACACGGTGGCGTCTGGTCGAGGCTGAGTGCCACCGTGTCACAGTACAGAAAAATGCCATCCTAACGCCTGGTGCTCAGTGAGCCATGTGGACAGGATTGTGGGGTCACCAGGGAGCCACATTCCCAGCTGGGGTGCCCGCCTGCTTCCTTCCGGGGAAAGCCAGGTTGAGGGGTGGCGGGCAGGTCCCAGCCCCACCAGGTCCTGTGGAGCCTGGAGCAAGTGACTCAGTGCTCCCACTTGGTGTCCCCATCTGTCACATGGGAGCACAGCCTGAGTCTCCCTTGTCCAAAACATTTGGGACCAGAGTATTTCAGATTCTGGATTTTTTTTTTTTTGATTTTTGGAATGTGAGCCTCCACACGATGAGGTTCTTGGGGGGGGGACCCCAGTCACACACGGGTCACGGTGACCTTCCTCGATGCCATCAGCGCACCTGCCTTTGACCCCACCAGTGAACTGAGGGCTGGAGTTTTGCATCCGCGTGTCCCAAAGGTGCCACTCGGGACTCTGGACTCTCAGAATTCCAATTTGTGTCTTGGGGACACCCAGCTGGTCTTAATAATGACCCGCCCTGGGCGTCACAGAGTTTCACACCCAGGGAGGCAACCAAATTGGCCCACCGATGTCACTCCTCGGGGACTAGGTGCTGGCAGGGGGTCCAGCGGGCGGATGGAGCAGGGACAGCAATGTGGCTTCCAGATGGGGTCCCGGGCCAGGGTCCCATGCCAGCCCCAAGGAAGCACAGGCTGCACGGGAATGGCTTGGGGACGGGGGCTGAGGGGCCTCCAGAGGTGGCCCCAGGCACTGGCCACGGCTCCCCTCCCGCCCGAGCTCCCCTCCTCCCCGCAGGCTCCTGCCTTCCGCCAATGACGAGGACCTCCCCGGGGACCTGCAGTCACTCTCGTGGCTCACGGCTGTGGACGTGCCTCGGCTGCAGCAGATGGCGAGTGGCCGCATGGACCTGGGTGGCCCCAGTGTGCCACATCCACACCCAGGTAGGCTCCAGGGGGGACAAGGCAAGGTGGCAGAGGGGAGGGGGCTCCCTGCCCCACTGTGTGGCCACGGACAAGTCCGTCCGCCTCTCTGGGCTGAGTCCATCTCCCTCAGAGGGAAGATTCACCGTTTACCTGCCGAGTGCCAGGCCCAGGGTGAGCTGAGGTTCTCACCTGTCGCTCGCTCCCTGAATGACAGGTCATCTTCCCAAACTAATGCAGCCGACAACCTATTTTTGCAAACACTAAAAATGGCTTTATGTTTCTGTGTCCAAAAACAAAGAAGACAGAGACCAGATGGCTGGCAGAGCCTAAAATATTTGCTGTCCAGTCCTTACAAGAACTTTGCCGCCCCAATGTTCTAGAAGATTCCAAGGGAATCCTGTCACACCATTAGGTACTCCATACGTGACAGCTAATGGCAATTACAGCAAATGAATCCAATGCTTTAAAGACACAGTGGTCAAAAGCAGCTGCCACGGGACATGGAAAATACCCAGAGTGGCAGAGTCAGCATCTGGGATCCTTTCTTTCATGGAGGAAATTATTCTCGATTAAAACATGTACATCTGGGTCTGCAAGCTTTCTCTGTGAAGGGTCCAGAAATATGTATTTTAGACCTTGTTGGTCACAGTCTCTATCAAAACTACTGGACTCTGCCATGTACCCCAAATCAGCCATGGATGGTATCTGAACGGACAGGTGGGGCCGTGTGTTAATAAAACTTTATTTACACACCAGCCTGTGGGCCGCATTTGGCCTGCTGATTAGGGTCCGTTTCCTAATCCTCATGTAGGGCCCCAGGGGACAATGGTGTGCTTTTGGGCAAGTGCTTTCCTCTCCGATCTGTTTCTTCACCTACAGTGACAATGTTCTAGAACAGCCCCCAGGGCTAGCTCCATCTTGGAAGTCAGCTGTGCTTGATTAGAGGTGGCTGCCCCAAGTCAGGCTGCTGCAGTGAGGATCGGAGATGGATTAGCAATGTCTGCCCCGGGGCCCAGCTCCAGGGTGGGGGGAGGATCTACCTGTGCTGTTCCTGAGCTAACCCTTGGCAGAAGAGCAGGGCTTGGCAAAGGGAGGAAAGGCAAGAAGATCTGGATCTCAACCTAGAGGTCCCGGGTGCCATGGGATGAACAAGAAATTGGTGTCCGAGTTTAAGGAGAGTATTAGAGCCTCCTCATCATTGTTATTTACTGTTGACTTACACTCACTGGTAAATATTATCTCATTTAACCCCCACAACAACTTTATAGGTAGTAACAGGTAACACCAGGGGCTCAAGTACAAATAGGGAAACTGAGGCTGGCCCAAGGTTACACAGCTGGCGGGAACCCCACTTTTCACCACTACGCCCCAGCAAAGTGATTTGCCAAGCATCTATCATGTGCCCAGTCCTGAGGGTGAGGGATGGCTCTGTCCTTGGGGACACCCAGGGACTGGGCCGTCCTGGCCACCATTCCTCCAGCACGGGGCTTTCTCTCTGCTTGCCTCCTACAGGAGCCTTGGCTGGGGCAGCCGATCTGCACGTGGGAGCCACCCCAGGCCCCCTGCTCCACGGTCCACCAGGCATGGAGCCCCGAGGCATGCTGGGCCTGGGCCCCCTGTCCAGCCACGGAGCCAGTGTAAGTGGCGAGTGTGGGTCGGCGAGTGCGAGGGCTGCCCCCGGGCTGCCCGGCCCACCTTGACCCTCTGTCTTCTCCTCTCCTGGCCCCAGCAGATGAGCCAGTTCCCCGTGGGGGGCCAGCCACCCTCTGGCCTGCAGGACCCCTCGCAGCTGTACTCACCGGGGACCCAGCCACAGTTCCCGCTCCCCCCGGGAGCCCAGCAGGTAGCCCTGGACCCAGAGGCAGAGGACCCTGCCTCCGGCCAGCCAGGGACCTCCCTGAGCCTCAGTTGACTCACCAGGCACGTGGGGATAACTGTCCCCACCACGACCGCGTGGCCCCTGGGAACTCCCGTGGGGGGAGACCCGTGGTTTCTGCGGTTACGAGCCCAGGGACGGGTGGGCGGGCCTCATGTGGACGCTGCACCTTCTCATCCCCCCTCTCTCTCTCTGCTGCGGGAAGTGCCTTCCTGTGGGCCTCTACGGCCCCCCGTTGGGGGCACGGCCCTCGTACCCCCAGGCCCACATGGCAGTGCATGCACCGCAGGAGCAGCTGCACCCCAAGCACTACCCCAAGCCCATCTACTCCTACAGGTGAGGCCCGGGTGGCACCGGTGGAGAGGGATGAGGGCTGCCCTCGGGACATCTCAGACAGCCGGACACAGAGGCCCAGACTGCCAAGGGGGAGGTTTGGAGGATCAGGGACCCCCCATGTGGAATCTGTTCTCAGGAATGACCACAGATGGTCAGTCAAGCCCCGGGGTTGAGAACCCACGGACACTCCATCACTCCTAGGCTGTGTGACCTTGGGAAAGTAGCATTGCCTCTCTGAACCTAGGTGTCCTCAAATGCAGAAAGTTATCCGAATACTAGGTGTTGGTGAGGGCGGGGGGAGCACCTAGGTAAAGGGTGGAGGCCCACAGACATTAGTTATGGAGACAGGGAGGGTAAAGGTTGTCCAAGTTCCTTAGGTCAATACCAATGGCTAAACCCAGGGTCAAGGAGAAGGACATGGGGTGGCAAAGAGACTGAGCCATGAAAAGGGCTAACATTGAGTGTGCAGGGGCTGGTCAAGCAGGGGAGGCTTCCTGGCGGAGGGGACCTGGGGCTGTTGGCCTGGGAGCCCTCATGCCCTCATGCCCATGTCCTGGCCCAGCTGTCTGATCGCCATGGCCCTCAAGAGCAGCAAGACGGGCAGCCTGCCGGTGAGCGAGATCTACAGCTTCATGAAGGAGCACTTCCCCTACTTCAAGGTGAGGGTTCCAACCAGGGAAGGGGACAGGAGCCACCCCAGCCTCCCCCTGTCACCACCAAATCCAGGGCCAGCTCTAGATCAAACCGGGCCATGGTCTTGGGCCCCCTGGGTCTGTGTACCCGGCCGTGGGGACACATGCACACAGACCCACCCAGAAGCATTTTAAAAGGGAAGGGGGCATTTGAACTGGGCTCTGATGGATGAAGAGGAGTCCGCCTACCTCTCAGGAAGGAGAGGGTAGAGGTGGAGGTCCCAGCCTCCATATTCAGCACGACTCCTTAAAACATAACGTGCAAAACACAGACCAGGCAAGAGCCTTCACCTCTGTGAACCTCAGTATCTTCATCTACTGACTAGCCATTGGCTACCACCGTTCATGATGGAGAGAAAGACAGGAAGCCACGGCAGCCCTGGGCTGTGGCCTCACGTCCTCTCTGTCAGCCGGGCTCCGCTGTGGCTCCCCCTTCCCCGGGGCAGGAGCTCTCCTCTCGCCGCAGTCCCCACCACTCCCTCTCGCCTCCCCACCTGGATGCTGAGCATCGAGTGCTGTCCTGTTGCCTCGGCTGCTGCCACATCCCCGGGGGACCTGAGTCTGTGACCACCAGGGGAGGCAGGGGGCCACAGGGAGGTCCCCCGAGTGCCCACATCTCCCCGCAGACGGCTCCGGACGGTTGGAAGAACTCGGTGCGGCACAACCTGTCCCTGAACAAGTGTTTCGAGAAGGTGGAGAACAAGATGAGCGGCTCCTCCCGCAAGGGCTGCCTGTGGGCGCTGAACCTGGCCCGCATCGACAAGATGGAGGAGGAGATGTACAAGTGGAAGAGGAAAGACCTGGCCGCCATCCACCGGAGCATGGCCAACCCTGGTGAGCCCCGACGGCCCTGTCCTGGCCAGGAGTGGTCTTCGCAAACCTTTCAGCCTCCTGGCCTCACCCTCCCGGCCTCTCCCCCCAGTGCAGGGCGGTATGAGCTTTGAGTGCAGTCCTAGGGCAACAGGCCTGTGCTGAAAGGAGATGTCATTACTAGATGGCACCTCTCACTCCTCGGTGGCACTGCTCTGTTGTGAGTGTCATTACAGCTCCACAACCACCCTGTGTGTCGCATGGGATGCCATCGCACAGATGAGGAGTCAGAGGTTCAGAGAGTCCCAGAGACTGGCTAAGCCCCCTCAGCGGGTAGCACGGGGACCTGGCTCCAGGCCTGGGCTGGGGGCTGGTCCCTGCAGGGTGGGCTCAGAGTCATGGCTCCCTCCTGTTTGCAGAGGAGCTGGACAAGCTGATCTCGGACCGGCCGGAGAGCTGCCGGCGACCCGGCAAAGCAGGGGAGCCCGAGACCCCCGTGCTGACTCACGCTACCTCGGTGGCTGTGGCCCACAGCTGCCTGGCCATCTCCCAGCTCCCCCCGCAGCCCCTGATGACCCTGTCCCTGCAGGCCGTCCCCCTGCACCACCAGGTCCAGCCCCAGGCCCACCTGGCCCCCGACTCCCCGGCTCCGGCCCAGACCCCACCCTTGCACGCCCTGCCCGACCCCAGCCCCGGCCCCCTCCCACAGCCCGCCATGGGCAGGACCCCCGTGGACTTCGTCAACATCAGCACCGACATGAACCCCGAGGTGGACGCCCTGGACCCCAGCATCATGGACTTTGCCCTGCAGGGTGAGGCCCGGGGAGTGGGGGGACGGTGGGGGCGGGGCTGGGGACAGCAGGACAAGGCGAGCCGGGCTGTGCTCTGGGTTGCCATGGCGACCACCCACTACCCGCACATGAAGCAGTTAGTGGGCACCTACTGTTTGGCAGGCCCTGGACCATGCACTTCACGGGCTTCACCCTGCACCCCCTCTAGTGGCCCTCCCAGGTCACCGCCAGTTCCTGACCCCATTCTGCCCCTTGAGGGAGCAAGGAGAAGTAAACTCACTGGCCCAAGCTCGTCCCGCGGCCAGGTCCGTCGGACCCCAGAACAACCGTCAGTAACTGCCCACCTTGCTGTGTCCACCCCAGGGCAGGTCACACTGACCACTGCCAGCCACGGGGTCCCCCCAATAAATGGGCTACGGATAAAGAAAGAGCAGACGGGGGACCGCAGGCTGCCGAGGCTCCTGTCCATCCAGATTCCCGGAGGCGGGCACCTGCCTGTGTGGCCGTGGGCTCAGACACCTGTGCCCTTGTCCTGGACAGGGCACGGTTCTGCTGCTGAAGAAAAGGGGACACATGGTTTTATCTTCCTGGCTTTGACCATGGCCCCTTTACCCCTGGCCACAGCCTCAGAAGTCGGTTTTCTGGTCACCTCCATTTTACTCTGAGGCTCAGAGACAGAAGTGACTTTCCCAAAGACACACAGCAGGAAGAGGGTTTCCCAGCACATGACCCTGCACACACGCCCAGCCTGGCCCCTTCCCTAAGACAGACAGGGACTGCAACTCGGGCCTGGGGGACGGGAAGCCAGCTCAGCCCTGCGCTTTTGTCTTTGGAAGGAAACCTGTGGGACGAGATGAAGGACGAGGGCTTCAGCCTGGACGCGCTGGGGGCTTTCGCCGACTCCCCGCTCGGCTGTGACCTGGGGGCCTCCGGCCTGACCCCTGTCTCTGGTGGCAACGACCAGTCCTTCCCTGACGTGCAGGTGACGGGTCTCTACACCGCCTACGCCACCCCGGACAGCGTGGCCTCGTCGACGGCCGCCTCCCAGTACCTGGGTGGCCCTGGGAACAAGCCCATAGCTCTGCTCTGAGCCGACGGACGGCCTCAGTGGCCCTCCAGCCCTCAGCAGCTGGCTCGGGCAGGGGACCGCGTGGACCGGGGTGTCCCAGAGACAGGCCCCTCGCCTCCCACGGGCCTCTCCAGAGCTTTCGACCAGGCTGCTGGCCGGTGGGGAAGCAGTTCCTGCCTGTCCTGCCCTCCGCTGGAAGTTCCTGGGGCCGAGGAGAGTGGACACGCAGCCTGGCCTCCCCTGCTCCTCCGGGGCCTGACAAGGCCTGGCCTCGTTGAACACCCTCCTGGTGAGGGCCCCTCGGTGACCGGCAGCCTGCTTTGGGACACACCAGTGCACCAGGGCCACACTCAGGCCTTCACCTGCTGTGGTCACAAGAAGGCCCAGCAGCTCAGAGCCTCAGCCTCAGCCTCAGCCTGGGGAGGCCGGAGGCCAGGAGGGGCCTGGGAGCTCAGAACGTCTCTGGGATGAAGCAGCCTGAACTCTGGGGGGCTGCACCCACTTCCCCCCGAGCAGGCCAACGCTCCACAGAGAGCCTCCTGGGCCGTGGGGCACTGGACCCTGAGTAGGTTTATTTATATTTATTGTGGCCTCCTCCACCTCAGCAAACCCAGCCCCAGGCCTCCGGGATGAGACTCCTCCATCCCTCCCGGGTCCCGGCAACCCCAGCTCCTAAGTGACCAGAGAGTCACATCTAACTGGCTTGTCCTCCCTCGGCAGCCGCGGGCTTCTTTTCAGGACAAACAAGCACTTTTGATACTGTGAGGCACCTGGTTTGAACAGTAGGTGGGCACCTAAGAGGAGAGGTGCCATGGTTTGGGGGCCTGGGGACTTGTTAGGACCAATGGAGCTGAGAATGGGCGGATGGAGCAGGGAGCTCTGTGCACGGGGCTAAGACCCCCATTGGAGAGACAGACAGCTGTCCCCAGGGGGAAGTGTGGCCCGGGCAGCCAGTGCCACCGAGAGCACAAATCGTCACCTGCCCAGTTCTTTGTCCCCGGGGCGTTTCTTTTCCTCATTGTCAATGACTGATTCTCCACGTGGCAGGCTCTGAGGGCAGCAGGGTTAGCAGGGGTTTGGGGACAGCTCTGCCAACTGCGGCCAAAACCGCGGCAGTGGCAGGGACCCCCCCCACCCTCGGTGTTTAGATGCCACATCCCGGAGCTCCCAAGCCCTAGGGCCAGAACGTTCTGACTCGCCCCCAGTCAGCCAGCCGTCCCGGGGTTTGCCAGTCACTCCTGACTTAAGGGCCGCTGTAAATCCTCTCTAGTTCTGGAACTTTCTGCCAAGCCTCGCCAGCGTGAGGCAGCCCAGTGCCGCCCCCCTGACTGGCCCACTCAGCGGCTGCGGGTGTCCCTAAGTTGAGATGTTTAAACTGTCACTGATGAAGGCCCAGGGCGGGGGCAGCGCGGGGACTCTGTAGCGATGGTGTCGAGGACCTGTCTTCTGTCAATAAAGGCTGAGCGGCAGCTCTGTGGCTCTGGGGGAGGAGGACGGGGACATGACGTACCCGGGAGGTGTGGTCACCCCCCTCAGCACAGCCTGCGTTCCCCGCCCCCTCCCTGCCCTCGACACGGATCGTGGACGCCAATCCCCAAAGCAGAGGTTCAGGCGTTCAGATGTGGTGGGTGGGAATGAGGGTGATCCCGTTGGTGGACAGCAGGGGACAGAGCTCAGCCGCGCTCTCCCAGCTGCCCCCTGAGCGTGCGCCTGGGTTGGGGCAGATGTGCCAGGGGAAGCAGACGGCAGCCCAGCTGGGTAGGTGGCCCTGTGCTGGGCCGGCACAGTGAGCTCGTCCACTCTTGGTGCCCCTGGGGGGACTGATCAGCTATGGCACCCACTCTGGAGATGACCACCGAGGCTCAAAGGAGCCCACCCAGTGACTTTCCACCCGAGATGACAGCCAGGGCTGCCCTGATTCAGACCCACCCAGGAGGTGGCCTGTGGCCGCACTGGGGCAAGATTCCTCCCCCAGGCAGGTGACGATTCTCAAGTAGGGAAGCCCAGGGGACCATGGGCCATGGGCAGAGTTGAGAAGCACTGGACAGGGCACCACTGCAGTGGACACGGGGCAGGTGGCAGGGAGCGGGCACCTGTGGTGGCCCTGGGCTGTGTGAAGTCCAACACCTGGACTCCAGCCCAACAGGAGATCTCAGCCCCAGCAGCTGGTTAAGGTGGGGACCGAGTGACCAGGCCATTTTGGTCACAGCTAGTGAGTGTCACCCCAGGGGCTCTGCAGGGGCTGAGGGCAGGCGTGCGCCCCCACTCCTGGGTGCTAGGCCCAGGGGACAGCGCCTGAGCCCTGGGGCACCCGTGGAAGCCGGGAGGAGCCCAGCTGCAGTCTGGCCTCAGTTTCTCCCTGCGGGTGGGGGTGGGGGTCGGGGGCCGAGGCTGGTTTGAGTCCAGGCAAGAATGTCCAGGTCACAGGGCGCAGGCTCTGTGCGGGGCCATGGTGACACCGGCACCAGGAGGAGGCACGGAGGAGAGGACAGGGCTCAGCTGAGCAAGGTTCTGAGGAGCTGGTGGGGAACCTAGAAGCACGTGGGGTCCCAGGGCCGCGGCTCCGCTGCCCTGTCCATAACCAAGTCCGTGCCAGCAGCCGGACAGCAGCAGCCACCGGGACGGGCTCAGGCACAGTGGGTCCCATCTGCCCCTCCTCCTGCCACAGGGTAAAGTGCTGCTGTCCTGTGACAGGCAGGTACTGTCCCCTCCACCAGCACCGACCACATCCTAAGCCCTGTGACCTGCACGTGTCACGTGACGTGGTCAGGGGCACCAAGGGTACAGACGGGACCCCTGTCCTCCTCAGCTGGCCTCACGTAGGGAGATGGCCCTGGATCCTCCAGCTGGGCTCAAGAGGGAGGCAAGAGTCAAGGCTGGATGTGACGCGCTGCCCTGTGGCCTCTGCGACCGGAAGAGGGCAGGAAGGCCACCGTGCCCTGGAGCCCAGACGCAGGCCCTCCCGGCACCCCGACAAGCGCCTTCCCGGGACCACACTGGCTGTCCAGTGTGGGCCTCAGACGGCAGCAGGGGGAGCTTGTCGAAGATGGGAGGTGACACCAGGCTGGACGTGTGGATGGGACTTCCTCTGGTGAGGACGGAGGTGACCACTTCCTGCCTCTGGAGTCTCAGCCCTCCAAGGTCAGGGGCAGCAGGACAAGACCAGCAAGTGCTGATCCACGGGCAGCTTCAGTGGCAGCCTAAGGCATGGGGGCCAGGCCTTGCGCCCTTTGCCCAGGGCCACCTTGTTCCCGGGCCACCTTGTCCCCAGAGCTATGCTCAGCCCAGGAGAACCTGCCACCTCAGTACAGCCTCCCCAGCTGCCGTGGGATGGGACGACTCTAGCTGGAGAAGGGGGACAGCTCACCTTGGGACCCGCTTCCTCCCTGCGGATGCTGAGCCCCGAGGAGCCTCTGGACTCTCTGCCGGGCACGACGCCACCCACATGGACAGCACCTCTGGCTAAGGAAGGAACCCGGGTCCAAGACGCTGGTCAGCAGCCGCTCCTGGGGCCCTTCTCCTTGTGGGTAAGAAGATCTGGCCGTCTGGGTTCCTGCCTGGGCTGAGGTAGGGCCAGCCTCTCCCCCCCCAGCCTGCCTCTCCCCCCAGCCTCCCCAGTAGCTGGGATTACAGGTGCCACCCTGTGCCAGGTGATTTGAGGGTTCATTTTTGTGTGTCGGGGGTACCAGGGACTGAACTCAGGGGCACTCGGCCACCAAGCCACACCCCCAGCCCTATTTGGTATTTTATTTAGAGACAGCGTCTCCCTGAGTTGCTTAGCACATTGCTTTTGCTGAGGCCGCCTCTGAACCCGCGATCCTCCTGTCTCAGCCTCCTGAGCCGCTGGGATGACAGGCATAGGCCACTGCGCCGTCTGATTTGGGTTTTTAACATTCCTAAATGTGGGATGGAGGAAAGGGTGAAGAGATGCCACAGCAAAGGGCCCGAGGCTCACTGGGCGGCTTGGTAACCGAGACAGGCAGCCCAAGGCCAGGAGAGTCCAGAACGTTCCTCCTCCTGGGGCTGAGGGCCCCGGGCCCTGGCACCAGCTGCGAGGTGAGCTATGAGGTGACACCGAGGGCGGACGGGGAAGGCGGTGCACAGCCCGCGGGTCCCTCCTCGGGGTGATGAGCCTGGCCGCCCTTTCTCTACGTCTGGCGGCCTCTGCTGCGCTTGGAAGGCGACAGGCAGAACCTGGGGCGGGAGGGGAGGAGGGAGGCGGAGGGATCCAGGGCCTCGGGTGGCCCGGTCAGGGGCAAAGGTCCTAGACATCTGAATTAAAAGGACTTGGCAGCTCCACGCCAAACAAAGGAACCCCCACAAAGCACCTCAGAAAACAGGCAGCTGGGAGGAGGGAGGAGTCGGAGCCTCGTGCGTCGCCCGGGGAATGTGAAAGGTGGAAGTCGGGGTGGTGCTGCCGCAGAGAAGGACACGCCCCACAGCCAGATGACCCCGCCGTTCCACTTCCAGGCGTGAACCTGGAAGAATCGGAAGCGGGGTACACCGCAGCCTTCCTCACGACAGCCAACGTGCAGACGCAACCCGTGTCCGTCAGCAGATGACAGGATGAACGCAGCGGTACCTACACACCGTGGAATATTACTCATCCCTGAAGAGGAAGGAAATCCGGACACATGCTGCAACATGAAGGGACCTTAAGGACACAGTCACAAAAAGACAGATGCTGTAGGGTTCCAGTTATAGCGAGTAGCTAGAGCTGTCGAATTCCGAATTCATAGAGACGGGAAGCAGAGCGGCAGGTGCCAGGGCGGGAGGGACGGGGGAGGAGTTGTCCTTTAAGGGATCTGGGCTTTCAGCTTTGCGTGGGTCTCAGGGGGAGATGAAGGCACTTGCTGCTCCTGAACTGTACAATTAAAAATGGTGAAGAGGGGCGCCCGCCTGCAGTCCTGGTAGTCAGGGACCCCCACAGAAAGCAGGGCCTCTGAGGAGTAAGGGACAAACCCCCTCAGGGGACAGAGAGCAGACAGCCAGCACTCAGTCTTATGGGGTGAGCAGCCACACCAGAAAATCCGGAGCCGAGAGAGCAGTCTTCAAGGTGGTGGGAGGGAGCCCAGGAGGGGGCAGCCGGGAGCCCAGCACAGCTTCGGATTCTGTGTGGTCAGCGGGATGCCAGCTGGGACCCCCAGTGGGGTCGCCACTGTTCTGCTAAACACAAGGTCAGAGACTTTCCCGGATGATAGGGCCGATGCCAGGAGGCAGGTGGCAAATGCTTATGAGGTCACCTAAGCCAGCCACGGTGACATTCACCTTATTAGCATAACCAATGCACAGCCGACCACTCAGGGCATGAAGACAGGTGACAAAGAGCACAGGCACAACCCAGGTCCTGCCTCTGCACGGGATGACATCAAGGGACTGAGTTCCTGCCCAGCCCAGAGATGCCCTTAAAGCCGCCCCGCTTTGTCGCTGGCTGCTGTCAGCCGGGGCTCTCTGGGCCCTTATGCCGTCTCCCCTCTGGCTTGAGCAGAAGTCCCCAGGAAGCCATTGTGCCTAAGTTCCTTCCAGATCTGGGCTCATCCCTACACCTCTGCCCCCGGAGCCTGAGTTTGGGTAACAGTCTCAGCTACTCCGGAGGCTGAGGCAGGAGCACCGCCTGAGCCCAGGAGTTTGAAGCCATCCTGGGCCACACAGCCAGACCCCCTGACACAAACCCAGACCCAAAGGTTAAGAGGGTAAATTCTGTTATGTATATCTTAGCACAAGAAAAAATCAATTAAAAAGGGACTTGTAGACTCTTTGCCTGCATCTCCTACACACTATTCTGCTGGAAGCTACCTGCCACGGGTCAGATGTCACAGGATGTAGAATGTCACCAGAAGCTGACTTTGACCTCATGTTCCAGCAGAGGCCCTCTCAGTCGGTGGTGGACTGCTGTCCTCGGTTGGGTGACCAGAGGGATGTGGAGATCCCTAGGAACACATTCACCCACAAATCCACGCTTCACAAACACTGCACAGGAGCGGGAGAACAGGGCTGTGGGACCCCAAAGGAGGGGTCCCGACTCACTGGAGAGGTGGTCAGAGAAGGCTGTATATTGGAGTGGGGTTTTGAGGGATGCGTAGGAGTCCTCGAGGCAAAGTCAAGAGGGAAGGCGTTTCCCGCAGGAGAGTCACGCTTCCTTGGAGGTGATCTGACAGTTCCAAACGCCAAGAAGATGAAACATTAGAAGCAACTCCGACCCCCAGCCACCAGCTCAGGCTACCGTAGCCAGACTGTCCAGGCTGGCCGACCCCAAGCCTCGTGTCCCTCGGTGTTTAGAGCAGCCTGGCTTGGGGCGTAGCTGCATGGACAGTGCCCACCAGGGTGGGTTAGTGAAGGCCTTCCTATGTACAGTGGTCACTAGGGAGGCTTTCTGTGGCCTGTGCCTGGTTTCCTTCCTGCCACAGTGGCCTTGGA